CTAAAATGTGTGTAAGTCCACACTGATATAAGTAATAATAAATAAGCAAAAAAAATGTTAAATAGGGGAGAAGAGACAGCTCTTTTGGTAGAATGCTGGAGGAAAGAGGAAAATAGAAGATCAGCATAGTGATAATTAATCATTGCAGACAAGACCCACCAATCGATGCAGAAATCAGTGGGTGAAACTTTGAGGAAGAACAAGATATTCACATAGTCCCAAAGTATCTTCCCCCTAGATATTTATTAACTACAAAGAGAAAGATAATAACTTTACAGTGAAAAAGTCTGGCAGACTCCATCGTAACAAGTGAACAAGACAGATCGACGTCTTGAGCCCCGCACAGGATGCACCGTTCTATTGTTTTCTTGCCAACATGCCTGACATTCCTATCATGAGAAAACATTAGACAAACCCAAATGAGGGGACAGTCTACATTTTGTACTCTGTAGTGACCTCTTGAATTGTGGCTGGGGACCACAGCTACTCTCTCTCTCTGTGTTCTACATTCTGTCTTTTATATCCTACAAAATAACTGACCCGTGCTCTTCAGAAGTGTCAAGGTCGTGGGCTGAGCAGTTAGCTCCACTGGTTAGAGCATGGTGCTCACAACCCCAAGTTCCAGGGTTCAATCCCTGTAACAGCCAGCCACCCAAAAGTGTCAAGGTCAAGAGAGACAAGGAAAGACTGAGGACATCCCAACCAAACTGTCACAGACTGGAGGAGACCAAGGAGATGAGACAAGTAAATGCAAGATGGGATCCTGGGTTGGATTCTGGATTAGAAAAAGGACATTAGTGGAGAAACTGGTGACTTTTGACTAAGGGCTTTAGTGTAGCTAATGGCACAGGACCGGTGTTCCTCTCCTAGTTTTGATGATGTACTAGGTTATGTGAGATGTTCTCATCAGGGAGGTTGGATATACAAGTTAACTCTGCATCTGCACATTTAAAATTAGTTCAGAATAAAAGGTTTTATTCAAAAAGAGCCCACATGTTTTAAAGATAAATAATGAAATACTGATGGAGTTTTTTAAGGGCCGGGAGTGTCTTGAACATGACCCACACTCGTCACCAGTTTTCCTGGCAGACCCTAGATGAGGTGTGTGTTCACTGAAAATTTCCCACTGTGGGCGCTCTCTATAAAAACGGGGGAGGTGCTGCCTGCGGTGACAGAGCCCAGGGCTGCAGTCAGGGAACAGGGCCCATGCCCTGGCTTGTGCACACCGCTGGCCCTGATGAGCAGAAGTGGCCCAGGTGGGCATTTGCCCGGCCTCGGGGCCCTTCGCCATCGCCACTTCTGCAGGGTTCGGATGGCATGCATCCCCAGCCTAGGTGCAGGATGCGACAAACGGAGTCCAACCATCTGATTTCTCCCCTGACAGGAACGGGGGAGGCCGCAGTGGGACGTTCTGTGCCATCAGCATCGTGTGCGAGATGCTCCAGCACCAGAGAACCGTGGACGTCTTCCACGCCGTGAAGACGCTGAGGAACAACAAGCCCAACATGGTGGACCTCCTGGTAGGATGCCCCCCGTGCCCCCCAGGGCAGCCCCCTCCCCATCGGGCTCTGCCAGCTCCCAGATTCACGATGACACCACTTCATAGAGGAAGAGGCTTGTGCCTTAGGCCAAACGCAGTGTCTAGGCTGTAGCCCTGCTCGCCCTCCTCGCCTCCCCTCTCCTCCCCTCTCCCTTTGCTTTCCCACCAGCAGACTTCGTCTCCATCCATTTGAAATGTGGAAATAGCTGAAACTCACAAGTGAACATCCTCATTAGCTTCCTGTCCTGGCAGTGCCTTCCACATGACTAAGCACTCAGTCTTCACAGAGAAGAAATAATCACAGCACATGAAATGCCAGATTTTCAAATTATATATTTTATAAATAGCTTAATCGCCTAATATTTATCAAAGCTGTGAATTTTAGTTTGACATCCAGAATATTGCATTTAATTAAGGTGGCCATATCTGAGAAGAGGGTTAGAGGAGCTGAGAAACAAAGGACCCTGAGCAATTATTTTCTTGGAGTATTTCATGAAATCTCTTTTTATGTGGAGCTGTTGAAATGCCAACCACTGTGACTTAAGAATAGTAGAATCGCTTAAAAGGAGGAAGCTTTTAGATCAGGTTTTGTACTTCTCTGTGAGCGAGGAAGTATCTGAAGGAAACAGGGATAGTGCAAGGTTGGGGGAAGGGCCTGGGGCGGGGGAGGGAGGAAGAGACGACCTCCCAGGCCGTGACACTGCAGCAGAGGGGTTAAGGTTAAAACATAAAGGGACTCGAGACAGAGCGGAGATTAAGCTGAAGTTGAGGAAGTGGCCATGGTCCCCATGTGCGACTTGAGGAGTCATTACAGCAGTGCTTCGGGCTGGCTAACAGCAGTGACCCATGACAATCAGCTCCTGGGCCACAGCAAGTCCGACTCAGCAGCCACTCTCCAGAGCATCTGCCTTCCCCAGACACATGTCTGTGCTGGATGAGCTGTTCCATTCCCAAGAAGCACAGTGCTGGCCAGTGAATTTGGCAGAACAATGCCTGTCTGGCCGGGATACTCTGAGAACCATCCACAGTTCTCACACTGGCTTCTGTAGCAAAAAGGACCATGCTCCCCCAACTCCTGCCCTGCAGAAAGCCCATGGAAACCCAAATTCTAGTCTCAGCTCTGCTACTAATTCAAGTTAGGTGACCTCAAACACATGTACTTTGCAATGTGAGTGTCCTTGGGCATATCGCTTAACTTCCTTGGGTTTCAGTTTTGTAAACGAGGGGAAATATTAGCTTACTGAGGTGACCCAGTGTGAAAGTGTTTTGGAAACTGCAAAGGGGAGAGAGGTGGTTATTGATACTGCAGGTATCTACAGGGCATGACGCCCCAGTGGCCTGTCAGAGCAGAGGAGGAGGAGGCTGGCAGCTGGCGCTGATGTGAGGCTCTGGGCGTCCTGCCTGTAGTAGCAGGTTTCCTGTGGATGGGCTGAAAGGCCGACTGGTGTGTTGGGTGTGTGGGCTTAGCTAGAACCCGCTGCAAACTGTCTTCCTCCCTGGGACCCACGTGCACGGGAAAGAGTTCTGTCACCATGGAATTCTCCATCTTCTGGGTTGGGGGCAGTTGAGAAAAGAATCATGTGGTGGCTGTCAGTGGTGGCCTGAGTTAAGGACAGATAAGGCTGGCAGAGGATGGAAATGAATGCATCAATTAAAATCCTGCGACTTCGTTTGGTGTTTGACCTCACTGAGTCAGCACAGGTGTGCGGCTTCCACACTGCGGTTGGCATTTAGGCAGTGCTGACCTTGATAAAAAGTGTCATTTTCCTCTCCTTACAGCCTGAATGAAGCAGATTAGATATAGACCCTTCCAGGCCTTTCCTCTAATGGCTCTGGCTGCGGCTTTTTACCACTCACGAATTTTTATGGGCAGAAACAATAGGGCTTTTTCCAAATCAGTGGAGCAGACTACAGGAGAGGAGTGGGTCTTCATGCGATGAATGGAGACTTAGGTGATTGGACCAGAAGGGGGCTCGTGGCCACAGCCCACCGTTCTGACAGTGCAGACGCTTCTCTAGTGACCTGCAGTTCTAATGGGGAAAGGAGCCTCGGCATACCCGACCTCCAAATGTCAGCACAGTTCTAGGATAAGGTCAGTGGATGAGAAACGTAGAAAAGTTTTGCAATTTTCTAAGAAAACTGTCTGATAAGTCTGTCACGGTGACTGTTAACAGAATAATAGATAATATATGGTGACCAAAGAAAAAATGTCACAGTGCTCTCTTGTCAGTAGGTTTGAAGCTTCCTTCCAGAATTGAATAGGAGGTCTTGTTGTTTCACCTGTAAGTACGATTTCTATTTAGTTGGTATCACACACGTAGATGTTGGCCGAGGGTATTAATTAACTTAGGTCAGGGTGATAACAACTGGTACTACTGTATTGGGCATAACAGTCCACATGAGACCTGAGTTTGTCCTAAGCACAGGATGCTGTCTCAGCAGCTGGAAACGGTGGGTGCTGAGTTGTCTCGGCTGTATCTTCAGAGTGCTGTGTGTCACAAAGCCTGGGCACGCCTCTGAGCTGGCCCTGCCAGTGTGGGATGAGAGGGGCCTGCATCTCTGTGCATCTCCCTTTACAGCTCTGATTTTTCTAAACTGCTTCTGAGTTTGAAAATTCATCCACATATTTTGAAGCATGGCACTCTCAAGGGAGACCCAATAGAACCTAAAGATTTATTTCTTCAAATTTTTAGTTTTGGGGGCTCTGGAGAAAAGCCAGGAGATTGCCAGGAGACAAAATAATTTATAACCTGAGACTAGATTTTTTTTTTTATCCAGTGAGGTAGCCACATTTTTTCCTGATCCTTTTTCAGCCCAGCTTCTAAGTTATACATCTCTTCAACCAGCCTCAAGTCCCCATCAGAGAATTGGGTCTCCAGAGGGCAGACAGGCCGGCACACTCTGAGATTCCCCGCAACTTGCCTGGTTCGATTCGGGTGGCGTCCTCAGTGCCTGAGAGCCTTTGGAGCTGTGATGCCACAGGACCGCGCTGCTTGACGCCAGCAGCCGTCCTTTCCCCTTCATCTTCCTCACTTGGCTTTTGAAGTTCCCAGGGCTCTGCCTTAACAGAGAAACAGCCTTTGGGGACAGAACTTGCCTAGAGAAACACAGCATCCCCTGGGAGGTGGCAGAAACTTTGGAAGGCTCCCCTCTGCCAGCCTAGCCTTACCCAGGAAGTGACCACCTGGCCTCATCATCCCCCAGTGCTCTCAGCAAGTCTGGCAAAGCTGCCTCATCGGGCAGATGCACACTTTAAATAACCATCTGTTTTTGAACTACGTGTCAGCTGGGGCCTCCCAACTTCTGTAATCCAAATAAGATGAGCCCAGATCCCCAGAGAGAGGTTCAGGCCTGGGCATGCACAGCCTCATGGTCACCTTTGACTCCTGACTCTGCTCTGTGGACACCCAGACCAGAAAGTCTGCATCCGTCAGACAACAACACACTCCCTCTAAACGTTCATTCATAAAGGGCACAGCCTGCAAAGCAAGGCACGCTTGAAACAAAGCATGGGTGACATCGCCCCAGTGTAGTGTCCTGTCACCACCCTCCTGCAGGCTGCTTTGCTCAGGCTTTGGCTACTTCTTCCTCCACCTTTTCCATGCTGCTGGGTCCCCTCTCCTGCTCCCTTTTTTGTCCCAACAGCCCCATCACTACAGCCCACCCCTTCTCTCCCCGTGTCTCCTTCTCAGGAGCTAAACAAATTTCTGCCAAGCACATGCCCTTGGACATCTTGGCTTCCCCTAAAGCCCACTTACCATGGTATTTTCCCAAGAAAAGACCATTTCCCATCTAAGAGAAAGTCTGGTCTGAGCTCTAAGATAGTAAAATCCTACCTGCTAACATCTCACTGGGATGATCAACAGTGTCTTCTCTCAACTCCCTTCAACACTTACCTCCCAGCCTCTGCTCTGTGCGCAGTACTTTGTGGGGTGTGTCGTGGGTGCAGAAGAAGTAGGAGACAGGGTTTCTCCCTCACAGAGCTCATAACTCGTCAGGGATGCAAAGCCTGAGTCCTTCCTGAACCTCAGTTTTCCTCATCTGTAAAGAGGGGATAAGAATATTAAGCCAGTCCCAGAAGGCCACATATTGTACAATTCCATGCACATGGGATGTTCAGAATGGGCAGTTCCATGGAGACAGGCAGATTAGTGGCGGCCAGGGGCCAGGGCAGGGGCAGAGGGACTGACTGCTAACAGGCACAGGGTTTCTTTTTGGGTGATGAAAATGTTCTAATCAGATTGTGTACAACTCTGTAAATATACTGAAAACCACCCTACTGTGTCAAAAGACAAACTTGCAACAAATTAAAGATCTAATTGGCTTTTATTAGCAGTCCTGGAATTGGGCAGTATCTCATTCTATAAAGTAGAACGGGCGTTCCAATGAGCCGAGCAGAGGGGATGGGCTTTCTAGGCAGAGCAGAGGCAGAAACAGAACAAAAAGCAGCTCTGTCCTTTCAGCCACCACCCTTGTAGGGTTAAACCAGAGGGGACTTCCCTATCGTGCCGGCTCAGGAAAACCGGCCCCTTTGACTGGTTACTGTGAATCTCCTCTTTTGTGGAAAACTGGCCCATTTGAAAGTTCCATTTGATTACATATCCCTTGGCATGAGTGACTCCATTCTGGTCTGGTCTGCTGGGCCTAGTGCAGGAAGCCGCTCCAAAACAATGTCCTCGTGAATTTTAACAATGGTAGCCTTTGAAAGGGTTAATTTTATGGTATGTGAAATATATCTCAAGAAAGCTGTTGTTTTTTTAAAAAGTAACATCAAAAAAAAAAAAATGCTGCTTGATCTTAGGTGCCTACAGGGCTGTTCTGTTTACAGAACATGATCCCGTGAGTGACTTCACAGTGAGTCACCTTCACAGAAGTGGGAAATCACTGCTGTCACACCCTTACAGATAAGGATACTGGTCTAGAGTTGTAATTCCATCCACATATTTTCCATGGGTCAATACACTTTGCAACAAGTGGACT